AGAGAGAGAGAGAGAGAGAGAGAGAGAGAGAGAGAGAGAGAGAGAGAGAGAGAGAGAGAGAGAGAGAGAAGAGGATTGCTCACCTTTCCACCTGTGAGACGACGTCTTTCAGCGCCGGACGCAGAAGAGGTAGTCTGGGGAGTCGGTCCCCCGTTTGCTCGGTTAGCACCGCGAGCCCCCGTTTCCACCGGCAGTTTGGTTCCCACAGAAGACCGGGGATTTGCCGAAATGGCATTGGCGTTTGATCCTGTTCGACATGAGCTCACTGAGGAACTGGGGCTGCTCCCGATGCCGCCGATAGAAGGGCCGCGCACTTTTCCACCTTCCCCCGCAGGCCGACCGGGAAACAGCCTGTCGACAAAGCTGGGAGCTTTTCCTTCACGCCCATTTTGTACTGGCATGATTGACAAACCTTACTCACTGCCCTGCAGCCCTCCGTTACCGCGCTCCCCCCTACTCGACCTCCTTTTCTACTCTCTCTCTCTCTCTCTCTCACACACACACACACACACACACACACACACACACACACACACACACACATACGCGCGCGCGCGCGCGCAATTACCTGCACAGGGATTCACTCAGCTCAACGTTATTCGACTTGGGAAAAAACCGTAGGCTTCGCTGCCTGGGCCGGAGACTGGGTTCGTGACTCCTCTGACATATATTTTATTATTGCCCCTCCCGGGCAAACCCTACTAACCCACACTACCCCTACCCATCACCCCAGCACTCACGTCCTCCCCTTCCCGTAACCTCCTCTCCACCGTTGGCAAATAACTTCACAGTGCCTACAGGACTACCATGAGTCAAAGTTGGAAAACTCTCGAGCACCGAGAGGAGTTATTAGACAATCTGATACAATAGCTTCGTAGTTACTGCATTACCCGGCTGACAGATTACTTCAAGAGAAAGAGAGAGAGAGAGAGAGAGAGAGAGAGAGAGAGAGAGAGAGAGAGAGAGTTGGACATGTTACTATTACTAATACTATCTTAGGCCAATCTTGCTATGGAGCTTGACGTTCCTCTTCGGTTCTCGGCATGTGGAAAACTTCTTCACGCCAAGTTGCCAACACAATCCTGCTGAAGGAAAGACGTTCAAACTGCGATTCTCCGCCCGGTTCTCCCTCCTCCCTCTCTCCCTCTCCCTCTCCCTCTCCCTCCCAACTACATGAGCCGACCAAGATGACACCACCGACTCATCAGATTGCCGCTAGCGCCATAAATACGACGAAGCTATCCTGGTGAACAGTTTTGTCGGTCGTGTAGGTCGCGATCGGAGCAAAGGCAAGACGGACAGTGGGCGTCGATCCACTGCTCTCGACGTGCACCAAAAAAACAAGAATCATGGCGGCGAATCTTTCCAGCTTCTAGCGAAAGATTCACTCTCGTTTTGCACATTTCGACGGTAGTGGAGGGAGACCCCGCCGTACCTCGGTGGCGGAAAAGAAGACGCGCCAAGACCTTCCCAACTGTCTCTTCCCTGACAATAGCATTTGTCGTCTCGTTGAAAAATTAAGAAACCGAAAGAAAAAAAAAAAGTAAATTTAGAACAGCATCGTTGTCAATTCCGTCTCTGGGGCGCTCGCCGCACTACTCGCCAGATGCACAAAAGACCAAAATTATGGCAATGTATATTTCCCTGTTTTACAGTAGAATTCATTCTAATTTCACACATTCGGTGACTACCGGGAGTGCCGAGAGGGCCAGGAACTCGGCCATACCAGAGGCGGGAAGGCAGTGGGCCTGGCCAAAATGCGCGCGGAGTCCTGCGGGACATCCGTTAAAATTGGAACGATACACAGAGAAAGAAGATTAGCGTGGCCCCTGCTGCGCAAGGATGACACGCATAAATCGAGAAATGGTCCAAATTGAATAAAAAACAAAAAGAAAACAAAAAAAAAGCGCGCGTGTTCTTCGGGACATCCGTCATTGGAAGGCATGGCCTAAAAGAAAAAAGGGAATCTGCGCGTGCATCTGTCCATCGACGCTGGCAAGATACATGTCTTATTATAAGAAGGAAGCCAAGTATTTGGCCACCCTCTGCGAACGGGTGCACTACCGGTAGGCGGTAGCATTCTTTGGTTTCTCAGTACTGTGGCGAGGTCCAGTCTCTCGGAGTATACTTGACCGCAATGGCAGCCGGAAACATTCGTCGCGGGGAGTAATTGCGGCCAGGTACGTCTGCGAAAGTCCTGGTGCAAGTGAGTACGCGCTCAAACCCGTGCGCAGAAGAGACTTTTGATTCTGCAGAAAAAGAGGCCCGCCGTTTCTTTTTTTTCTTTTTTTTCTTTTTCTTCTTTTTTGTTTTTTGGTTACCGATGAACATCCTGTGAAGACCTACGGTCCAGCGGCGGTGCGAGAACCATCTGGATCGAGGCTTTCTGTGGATGACTCCAGTCCATTGGTGGGGAGCTACACCCGCTGGAAAGCGGGTCCAGCGTCCCTCGTAACAAACAACTAGCTAAGCGCCCGTGGTAGTGCCGGTAGAGTGCTGTACAGAAGAGTGTCGTTGAGTGTCGTAGAGTCGAGTAGAGTACAGTAGAGTAGTCGTAGAGTAGAGTAGAGTAGAGTTGAGTAGAGTACAGTGTCGTAAAGTAGAGCAGAGTGTCGTAGAGCAGAGTAGAGCAGAGTAGAGGAGAGGAGAGGAGAGTAGAGTATCATAGAGTGTGGCAGAGTACAATAGAATAGATTGTCGTAGAGTACAAAATCGTGAAGTAGAGTAGAGTAGAGTAAAGTGTCGTATAGTAAAGTAGAGTTGAGTGAAGTAGAGTTGAGTGTCATAAAGTAGAGCAGAGTGTCGTAGAGTAGAGTAGATTAGAGTAGAGTCGAGTGTCGTAGAGTGTCGCGGAGTGTCGTAGAGTAAAGTGTCGTAGAGTAGAGTGTTGTAGAGTGTCATAAAGTGTCGTAGAGTAGAGTAGAATGTCGTCCAGTAGAGTAAAGTATAGTGTCGTAAAATAAAGTATTGTAGAGTGCAGTAAAGTAGAGTACAGTACAGTATCATAGAGTAGAGTACAATAGAGTGTCATAGAGTAGAGTACAGTAGAGTGAAGTGTCGTAAAGTAAGGTAAAGTAAGGTGTCGTACAGTAAAGCAGAGTAAAGCAGAGTAGAGTAAATTGTCGTAGAGTAGAGTAGAGTGTCATTGAGTGTCGTTGAGTGTCGTAGAGTAGATTGTTGTAGGGTGTCGTCGAGTAGAGTAGAGTAGAGTAGAGTACAGTACAGTGGGTGAAGTGGAGTAGAGTGGAGTAGAGTAGAGTGAAGTAGAGTAGAGTAGAGTAGAGTAGAGTAGAGTAGAGTAGAGTAGAGTAGAGTATAGCGTTGTACAGTACTAGAGTATAGTAGAGTACAGTCGAGTAGAGTAGAGTGTCGTCAAGTAAAGTTTTGTCGATTGCCGTAGAGTGTCTTAGAGTGTCTTAGAATACAGAAGAATGTCGTAGAGTAGAGTAAAATAGAGTAGAGTGTCGTAAAGTGGAGTAAGGTAGAATACAGTATGTAGACTATAGTGTCGTAGAGCAGCTCCCTAGAGTAGAGTAGAGTAGAGTAGAGTGTCATAAGGTGTCGCAGAGTACAGTAGAGTAGATTGTCGTAAAGTAGAGTACGGTATCAATGACATAGAGTAGAGTAGAGTAGAGTGTCGTAGAGCAAAATAGAGTAAAGTGTCATAGAGTGTCGTAGAGTACATTGTTGTATAGTACAGTGTTGTAGAGTAGAGTAAAGCGTCGTAGAGTAGAGTAATGTGCCATAGAGTAAAGTAGAGTAGAGTATAGTCGAGTATCGTACAGTGTCGTAGAGTGTCGTAGAAAGTCGTCAAGTACAGTGTCGTGAAGAGTCGAAGACTGTCGTAGATTAGAGTGTCGTAGAGTATGGTAGAGTGTCATCGAGTAGAGTAGAGTAGAGTATTGTAGAGTGTCTTGGAGTAGAGTAGAGTATAGCAGAGTAAAGTATAGTAGAATAGAGTAGGCCAGTGTAGAGTGGGAAAGTAGAGTGTCGTAGAGTAGAGTAGAGTAGAGTAGAGTGACGTATAGTAGAGTTATGTAGAGTGTCGTAGAGTACTGTAGAGTGTCGTAGAGTGTCATAGAGTACAGAATAGTGTCGTAAGAAGAGTAGAGTAGAGTGTCGTAGTGTTGTAGAATGTCGTAGACTAGAGTGTCGTTGAGTGTCGTAGAGTATAGTATTTTAGAGTGTCGTAGTATAGAGTGTCGTAGAGAAAAGTAAAATCTCGCAGAGTAGAGTACAGTGTCGTAAAGTAGAGTGTCGTAGAGTAGGGTATTTTAGAGTGTCGTAGAGTAGAGTGTCATAGAGAAGAGTAGAATGTCGCAGAGTAGAGTACAATATCGTAGAGTAGAGTGTTATAGAGTGTCGTAGAGTATCGTTAAGTAGAGTAGAGTGTCGTAGAGTGGAGTACAGTACTGTGTTGTCGAGTAGAGTAGAGTGTCATAAAGTGTCGTAAAGTAGAGTACAATGTCGTCGTGTAGAGACCAGTACAGTGTCGTAGAGTATAGTAGATTGTCGTATAGTGTCGTGGAAACGAATAGCATGTTTTAGAGTATAGTAGAATGTCGTAAAGTAGAGTAGAGTGTCGTAGTGCAGAGTGTTGTAGAGTATCTTAGGGTAGAGTAGAGTGTAGTAGAATAGAGTGTAGAAGAGCAGAGTAGAGTAGAGTATTGTGGGTAGAGTAGATTAAAGTAGAGTGGAGTACAGTTGAGTAGAGTACAGTACATTACAGTAAAGTAGAGTAGAGTGTCATATAGTGTGATAAAGTATAGTATAGTGGAGTAGAGTGTCGTAAAGTATCATACAATTGAGTTTTGTAGAGTGTCGTAGAGTGTAAGAAACTACAAAAGAGTGTCATAGAGTGTCGTAGAGTAGAGAAGAGTGTCGTAGAATCTCGTAGAGTAGAGTAGAGTAGAGTAGAGTAGAGTAGAGTAGAGTAGAGTAGAGTAGAGTAGAGTAGAGTAGAGGGGAGAGCAGAGTAGAGTACAATGGAGTACAGTACAACAGTGTAGAGTCTCAAAGAGCGGAGTAGAATAGAGTAGAGTGTCCTAGAGTAGAATTGGGTAGAGTGTCATAGAGTAGAGTTGAGTAGAGAGTCATCGAGTAGAGTAGAGTAGAGGAAAGTAGAGTTCGATAGAGTACACTGTCATAAAGTATAGCAGGGTGTCGTAGAGTGTCGTAAAGTGTTGTCGAGTGTGGTAGAGCAGAGTAGAGTGGATCAAAAGTGTCATAGAGTGTTGCAGCGTACAATAGAGTAGATTATCGTAGAGTAGAGAACAATATCGTAGAGTACAGTAGAGTAGAGTGTCGTAGAGTGTCGTAGAGTGTCGTAGAGTGAAGTGTCGTAGAGTAAAGTAGAGTAAAGTATCGTAGAGTAAAATAAAGTGTCGTAGAGTAGAGTGTCGCAATGAATACCCCCAGGCGGCAGTCATCCGCGGACGCGGCCAGTCCGCAGACCCCGCGGACGCATCCGCGCGGACGTGCGGCTTTGACGCCACGTGGCGGCCGCGCGGGAGCATCTTTGGGAGATCGGGCGGCGCATCCCCGGCCCCACCCCCCCACACA